ATTATAAAGAAGTTATCAATCCTATCTTTGGAGAGGCAAGGAAAGAAATTGCAACCATGAAACAAGAACATGATGTTATTGAGAAAAGGAATGTACAGAAAACAAAGAGCTTTTGGAGATTGAAAACATGATAGCAGAAGGGAAAAATTCTATGGAAGAATCAGAGGGCCGAATTGAAGAAAATTCTCAGAATAGAGCAAAAGGCAAAAAGATACAAAATAGAATAAGGGAAGAAAATTAGAGGACCAGTCTAGGAGGTCCATTATGCACATAATAAGAAAGCTAGAGAGAGAATAGGGAAATTGGGGGAAAGGAACCCAGCAGCAAAATCCTTCAAAACATTTTCCAAAAACTCAGCAGTATAAATGTACAGATTGAAAGGACCCACTGAATTCCCAGCGTAGTAGACTGAAATATACTCACACCAGGGAACTGTTATTGTGAAACTTCAGAACACTAAGAGAGAAATTATATAGGCCAAAACCAAAATAACAAGCAGGTCAAAGTCAAGCAACCTGTTGTTTGTTTGTTTGTGACAGAGTCTCGCTCCATTGCCCGGGCTAGAGTACAGTGATGTCATTACAGCTCACTGCAATCTCCAACTCCTGGGCTCAATTGATCCTCCTGCCTCAGCCTCCTAAGTAGCAGGACTATAAGTGCACACTACCATGCCCCACTAATTTTTCTATTTTTAGCAGAAACAGGGTCTCGCTCTTGCTCAGGCTGGTCTTGAACTCCTGACCTGAAGCAATCCTCCTGTCTCAGCCTCCCAGAGTGCTAGGATTACAGGCATGAGCCACTGTGCCCTGCCAGAACCTCAGACTTCTCAGCAGCAACACTGGAAGCTACAAGTCAATGAGCATGACCTTATGAATTCTGAGGAAACATTATAATCCACCTAGAATTCCTTACTCATTCAAACTTTCAGCCAAATGTGTCAGTAGAATAGTTAGTTTTAGATATCAAGGTTCTCAAAAATTTATTTCCCAGGAAGCTACCAGGTATGCCTCACCAAAATGGAGTAAGCCAAGAAAAAAGATGTGAGACCCAGGAAACAGGAGGTGCAGCAAAGGGGAGAGGCAAAGGGATGCCCAGAATGATGGTGAGGTCAGATCATAAGCATAGCTGGTGGTCAGTGCAGATGTGGGCAGGTGAGAAGGTTCTAGACAAGCTTTCTCCAGGAAGGTGAAGTTGATGCATTGTGTGATATGTCAACTATTTGAGAAGAGAGGAAGGAAATTAGTAGATAGTTTTGGATTGAATTAGTTATGAGTACATTGCATACCCAGATGGAACAAAACCAAGGGGCTTATTTGCTTGAGAGAAAATAAAACATTGTGCAGGAAAGGAAAATTAATTTAGTATGTGTAGTTCAGCTCTAAATAATATTTACATCATTACAATAATAGAAAGTGAATATTGATCCAACCAAAATTACTGTTATGTATAACCATATTTGGTGGATGGGTGATGGGAAGGGTTGATGTGAGTATGGGATGGTGTGTGTATGTGTGCGTGTGCACATGTGTGTGCGCGTGTGTGTGCGTGTGCACATGTGTGTGCGCGTGTGTGCGTGTGTGATGCTGACGGGGGAAAGAGGGTAAACTCTTCATTCCCTGTAGGGAAAACTGACATAATAAAATAGAAAATTGAAAGTTAGCAATACAATCATGCCACTTAGCTCTTATCTCTATGGTGTTAAAATAATTGGCTAAAAGGATTAAAGAGGAGGAAATTGGTGACACATGGGACAGGGGACTGATAGTTGTCAGAAGAAACATTTTAGAACTGTTTACCCTTTAAACCATTTTTAACTTGGATACAAGTAAAAATGTTAAAATAGGAGCAATTGCTACTCTCATTTTGTTACACTTTTTACTCTGTCACCTAGGCTGGAGTGCAGTGACGTCATCATAGCTCACTGTAGCCTTGAACTCCTAGGCTCAAGTGATCCTCCCATATCAGCCTCTCAAGTAGCTGGGACTACTGGTGTGTGCCACCATGCTCAGCTAATTTTAAAAAAATTTTTAAGAGATGGAGTCTTGCTATGTTGCCCAGGCTGGTCTTGAACTCCTGGGCTCAAGTGATCCTCCTGCCTCAGCCTCCTGAGTGGCTGGGACTACAGGTGTGAGCCTGGCTCTTTGTTACACTTTTTAATGCATGCACACACACACATTTTCTGCAAGTTTGCTTTGGGCTAGGTATTGATTGGGCTGGACCTCAGGAATATAGTGCAGATGAGACCAAGCACGATTCCATCCCATGAAAACTTTCTCTGAAACACTAGAAAGTAAATTTCAAAGATGTGTGGAAAATGATGGGCCATGCTTCACATTTATGTTGATGCACAGTATTGTAGTTTAATTTTCAGCTAGTAAGATGTCTTTAAAATCAACTAAAATCATTACTAGCAGCTCAGTTATTTGCCTACGAGGTACTATGCTCTGCACATTCTATTCCTGGTCATATTATATCCTCACACACTCCCCAGGAAGTAGATATTGTTTTTGAGGCTCAGAAGGAGCAAGTAAGTTGTTTAAAATCTTACAGCAATTGAGTGGAAGAGCTGGGATTTGAACTTGGGTCTCTCTGATTCCAAATCCACGGCCCAGATAGCGATAGATTGAGACATTTTTACAGTTAATCTATTAATGTGGTATGTGCAGTAAATATCAAGTATACATGGCGGAGGGTAATAGAAAGATCATCTTCAGAGGGCCTTGGCATTAAAGGTGTCATATTTTTTTGTTGTTGTTGTTAGAAAAATATCTGAGGAGGGAGGGGAAGCTCAATAACCATGGGGTATTATTTTTAGTTTCCTCTGTGAGGGAGATTTTAGTTGAGTGAGTACCTGTGTTCACCAGCAGAGTCCACACCCAGGTAAATTAGAATTCTTTTGCCATTTACTGAGAACTCCCTCAATCATGCCCCAGGAGCTTAAAAAATGAATGGGATGCCAACGAGCATGGGCGTCTGTTGCACTGTGGAAAATTCTAAATGTTAGAATTTTTCTGCTTTGGGTTAAGACCTGGCCTTGTATGTTACGAGTACAGTGACTGCCTACCTATCTATCTTTTGCTTAATGGATGTTTTGGACCATGGTAGCTTAATTTTTAAGGGGTTAGATATATTCTTAAAATGAAATTTCATTTCATAAACTTAGAATATATGCCTCTGAACCAGCCTTTCACAAATGCATTCTACAGCACACTGGCCTTCCAAAATGTTTGATAAATCAAGAGGGGACTGTCCACATACATCTGGTGCATCCTAGATGTGATATCCTCTGTAGGCGGAGTCACAGTGCACATTAACATATTAGAGACTCTGAGATGGTTTTGGATTAAAGAACCATCTGATCAGTGTCTACGATTTTTTTGAACATGGATTCATTTTTTCCAATCACTGGATGCCAGGTTATTTCCTTTTGAGAAAAATTCATGCGTTATGACTTTTAGGCCCCATTAGCTCTGAAATGCTGTGATTTTATAATTTAGTCATCAGTCAGTTTCATGTCATTTTGATTTATAATTTGTGAATTTATAATTGTCAGATATATACATAAGAAATTTCCTGTTTTACCTTTGAAATCCTATTTTTGAGGCATAATCTTAAAGATTTGATGGGTGAGGTAGCTGGGGAGATGTTGGTGAAAACTTACAAAATTTCAATTAGGAAGAATAAAAGGTCTACTGTATAAAATGGTGACTGTAATTCAGAATATATTGTATTCTTGAAAAGTGCTAAGAGAGTAGATTTTAAGTGTTCTCACTACAAAAAGGATAATTATGTGAGGTAATGCATATGTTAATTAGCTGAGTTAGGCTTTCCACACTGTATATATATTTCAAAACATCATGTACACAATAAATATATACAATTTTATCTGTCAATTTAAAATAAAGTAAAAGTTTTTAAAAATATTTGATTGTGACTATCTTATTTGAAATGTAGTTTGCAAATATATAACCCAGAATTATATTTTCTAAGAAATTGTTCCAGAAATTCTATATATTTGTATGTACATATGTATCTATGTACGGACATGTATATGTACATGTGTATACCCAGGCACATAGATAGATACCTATGTACCATACATGGATAATTCTGAAGTATTCTATTGTATTATAATTTATTAAGGAAAGGAGGCCACTTTTAGTTTGTTTCTAGTTTTTGTTACAGTGAGTATCCAGTTTTTTTGTTGCACATAAGATCTTTGTATGATTGGATGATTATATCTGTCTTATAAGTTCCTAGAATTGTAATTCTGAGTCCAAAAGTATAGGCATTCTTAATTTTTATAGTTATTTATTGGCTACAAGATTGGACCAGCTTACTTTAGGCAACTGATGACAGTGCCAATTTCCCATTGCCATTGCTGGCAATGCCAGTTCAGCTAATTCAGTGTCATTGAACTGAATTCTTAGCTGATGTCATTTTCCTATATGAGAAGCATGTTATTTTTTACCTTAAAAAGTGCTATTGTCTCACGTATTATTTTACTTTATTATTTAACCATTTATTTAATAGAAATGTAAAGTTGTTTGGGAACTAGAAAGAACTAGTCTGTGTGCTCTTGAATTACCATCTCTCTGTGATTGTTATGCAGGAAATTAATGACAATAACTTAAAAATTTACTTTTATTTATTATTAGATATGATGTACAAATTTATTTTTTATAAAATAGTTCAAACAATGTATTATAAAATATAATTGTTTTATATAATGTAAATATAAAATTTATTTATTTTGGTTGAAATGTGTTTGTCTCTGTGAAATTTTGCATACATGAATTTTGCCATAAAAATAAAATTATGGTGTGGAAAAAGTGCAGAAATAACAAAGTTGTGCATGAGGATATTTTTTAATTTCCACATTTCTTATCATGAAATTTTTAGTTTTTACTATCTCTTTTTGGAGTGTAAAAAGACTTTTCAGTTTGCTGTGGAAGAATGTCAGTAACATAATTGATTAATTCATTCTTTTTTGCTTAAAGGAGGAAGACAATGGTCCCATAGTGCACTTGGATGAAAAACAGAAACTTTTGAGCTGCAGCTTCATTTTATCCTCAAAGCCTACATTGTTTGTCTTCATCTAATCCAGCTTTGATGGACATCTGTGACAGTCGCCTGTATACATGCTGTAATGAAATATTAGAAGTGGCTGCACATTCCAAAGAAACTCCATAGTATATATCTGCATCACTACTGCTAGGATCCACATTTTTACACATACTGTTTATTGTGTTTGTGTAGAAGAAATGAAACTAGTTTCCAGAATTGTTATTAATATGAATATATATCATGTGTTAATATTGAGAAAAGGAAAAATACATTCCCAGTGTTATGAATTCATCACTTCCTGTCTCCAACAGAAAATGCAATCATTCAGAGAGTAGTGTAATTCCTCATAATGAAATAAGAGTTTTGATCAAGAATATCCAGAGCTTCACAGTGCAATGTGAAGGATTAGTAAAAATTAAGTCTTGTTATTTTCTAGTACCCATACCACAATTAATGTCAGGCTGGTTTGTGATGGAAGACATTTTGGAAGTTAATGCAACAACACAATATTCACTTTATATATTACTTTCTTAGTTAAAGTATTTAAGTGAGTGTATGAATCTAATCATATTTATTTGACATATTTAAAGCTGTGGTTTCTAGGAATTTGAGAGAGGTATAACAAATGGGATAAAATGCAGGTGGGTACAATGTACCAGGAATACTTTTATTTTCCATCAACAGTAGTGTAAATTTAATAGTATCTTGTATTAATTCAGTGTTGTACACTTTGTAAGACCTTAAAATATTTTATTCTATGATTCCACTTCTTTAGCATGTTAAGACATTTCTTTCAAAGATGACTAACAATATCCTCATTTTAAGTGCTACTAGCAAATTTAAACGTATATTTAATTACAGTTAGATGTGACAGAATGAGATAATTTACATAAAGTAGTAGAGTACCTGGCACTAAAGCAAACAATAAATATTATTGTTATAATTGTTGTAGAGGTAATGATGTCAATAACAGTCCAATTTGGAGGGATTTTGTGATGCAAAATATCTAAGTTAGAAATAGAAAATAGGTGGAATAAGTATGTGTTCAAAGGTTTCAGATGTGTTGAGTAGAGATTGTTATAATGGAAGCATTAAATGTAAATAAAAATCACTCCAGATATCCCTGAAAATGGAAGCAGAGAAGGTTCTTCATGGAGTCTTGGACAGGGAGAGAAAGGCGTAGGGCTGTGGCAAAGTGAGGAAAAGTGGGAGCAGCCAGCAGCTCTGTGCCACACTGCGGTGGCATCAGGCAGAGCCTCTGAAGCACATTTTTTTGTAGTTCTAGTGTTCAACAATGAGGAAATGGCAAAGCATGATTTCAAAACCGTGACATAAACATTTGCATCATGCAGACCAGCACTGCTACCCTTCACATGCGAGACATTGGCTGCAGGTGTAGCCTCATTTGTGGTTATCATCAAAGACTAGATCGGAGGCTTTCTGTGAATGAGAGACTAGTCATGTGGTGCTTCTGGCACTCCTTTGGTAGACCCTGTGTTTGGGCCCTGGAATAAAACAGTGCCTGGGTACCAGCCTCTCCACGCCTGACCAGGTTGGTACTGAGCAGCTAGGGACTGTTCTTGGACTGAACTTCTGATGCTTCCTGCAGTCCCCTACCATCTTTCCTTGAAATGTACAAAATAAATATAACAAACTTTAATTCAAATGGCTTTCGGGTTGGAATCTAGTTTTGTTTTTGTTTTTTTTTTCATATTCCACCCTTTCAAAATGTGCGTGCGTGTGTGTGTGTGTGTGTGTGTGTGTGTGTGTGTACTAAAGCAATCAAATTACTAAACATTGTCTGAGTTAAAATTGTGAGATTGTATGGAGCCTTAATATTCTTTAATATGGAAAACCCTTTCATCCCACAATTAGGTACCTCAGACCCAGAATATGAATGCTGTTTATACTATGCTTTTGCAGGAAGGAATTTGAAAGGGTGATTTGTCACTCAGCAAAAGTGCAAAGAACTTGATCTCAAATCTATCCTGTTTTGATGGTGAGATGGGAAAGGAAAGTAAAAGCTATGTGATGGACCCTGAAATTGGGGAAGAAGCCTCCCAGAGAAATAGTGGGAAGGGATTGATGACAAATTTCATAGATCTTGAAATTTAGGGTAGATTTTGTTTACAAAACACAATTTAAGAAAACAATAAACTGAGGTGTCTTTCCCATGGCTTATAAACATGTAAGGGCCTCTGATTTGGTAGTTAACGTACTGATGGTGTGCATAGTAATACTGTTGTCAGAAGTTTTGCCAATTAAAATAATTTGAGTCATCTCTTTTTTGTTCATCAGTATAGCTAAAGGCTTGCCAATTTTGTTGACCTTTCCAAAGAACCAAAATTTGCTTTCGTGGGTTTTTCTCTATCATGTTTCTATTCTCTATTTCATTAATCTTTGTTCTAATCTTTATTATTTCCTACCTTCTGCTTGCTTTGTATTTAGTTCGTACATTTTCTAGTATCTTAAGGTGAAAGGTTAGGTTATTGACTTGAGATTTTCTTTTTTCGTGAAAGTATTTACAGTTACAATTTTTTCTCTTAGCATTGCTTTAGCTGTATCTCATAAGTTTGGGTATGCTATGTTTTTATTTTTATTCCTCTCAAAATATTTTGTAATATGCCCTTTTTTTGACCCAATGTCAAACTTAGGAGTTTGTTTAATTCCCACATATTATGAATTCCTAGATCTGTTATTGATTTATGATTTCCCTTCATTGTGGTCAGAGGATATACTCTATATAATCTCAATCTTTTTAAATTTATTGAGGCTCACTTTATGGCCTAGCATATGGTTTGTCCTGAAGAATGTTCCATGTGCACTTAAGAAGAATGTGTATTGTGTGCCTTGTTGAGTGATGTGTTTTGTAGATGTCTGTTAGGGCTCCTTGACTTACAGTGTTGTTCAAGTCTTCGTTTCCTTGTTAATCTTCTGCCCATTTTCATTGATTATTGAAAGTAAGGCACTGAAGTCTGACTATTATTGTTGAATTGTATCTTTCTTCAATTCTATTAGTTTTTTCTTCATGCATTTTGGTACTCTTGTTAGGTGTCTATATGTTTATAATTGTTATATCTTTCTGATGGAACTATCCTTTTATCATTATAAAATGTCCCTCTTTATCTCTAGTAACATTTGTTGCTTTAGTATATACTTTGTCATGTGTTAACTGACTATAGCCACTCTGGCTTCCTCATAGTTGCTATTTGCATGATATATCTTTTTCCATCCTTTCACTTTGAACTTATTTATATTTTTTGAATCTAAAGTGTGTCTCCTGTAGACAGTTTATAGTTGGCTCTTGTTTTTCAATACAGCCTGAAAGTCTTTCCACCTTATAATTTAATGTATTCACATTTAATATTGTTGACATAGTTAGATTTATGTCTGCCATTTTGCTTTGGTTTTCAACACATCTTGTGTCTTTTTGCTGTTGTTCCTCTATTCCTACTCTATTGCTTTATTTTACATTAAGTGAGTATTTTCTAGTATAATATTTCAATTGTTTCAATGTTTTTGTTTTCAGTTTTGTTAGTTTAACTTCTTAGTGGTAGCTGTAGGGCTTATCATACACATGTTAATTTATCAGAATCTACTTCATATTTATGCTAACTTGATTGCAGTGATTTCTTTAGTTACAGTTACTCCTTAATAGCCTATTCCAATCTTCTTTTGTGCTATTATTTTTATATTTGTGCTATTATTATTATATATATTACATCTATACATGCTATCAACTCAACAATATATTGTTATAATTTTTACGTTATATAATTGTAGTATATTAAAGAAGTATATTAAAGAAGTATATTTAGTATATGTAGTATATTAAATGTAGTATATTAGTATAAATATGTAGTATATTAAATAGTATATTTAATATATGTAGTATATTAAAGAAGCTGAGCAGAGAAAGGAGAACAAATTATATTTATAAAATTTCTTCTAATAACCTTCTTATTTACTGTTTCTACTTTCACTTTGTCTTGTGGATCTGAGTTACCAACTGATGTCATTTTCTTAGTCCAATACTTTGTCCTCACCTATATTCTCTGCGTTGTCATTGTCAATTATCTCACATTTGTTCTAGGCATAAAGTACAATTATATAATATAGTTCTATACAATTGATTTTAAATAAGAGAAGGAAGAAATATACATTTATACTGTCTTTTATAATTACATAATTACATTTACTAGTGCTCTCTGGTTTTTGGTGTGGATTGAAATTAGTGTCTGGGGTCATTTTGTCATTTGCTTTCAGGCTGGAAATCTTTTTTTGGTGATTTTTGTAAGGCAAGTCTACTACTAACAAATACTCTTAGTATTTATTAATATGGAATGTTTTTATTTCACCTTTATTTTAGAAAGATAGTTTTGCTAGTTATAAAATTTTTGGTCAACAGTTGTGTTTTGTTTTGTTTTTTTCCTGTCAGCCTTTTGAATATTATATCCCATTGTCTTCTGGTCTCATTGTTTCTGATGTCAGCTATCAAACTTAATGGGGTTCTCTTCTTCATGGCAGATCATTTTTCTTTTACTACTTTTAAAATGTGTACTATGATAATATCTGGGTATGAATCTGTGTTTGTACTGCTTGGAGTTTGTTGACTTTCTTAAGTACATAGATGTCTTTTTATAAATCAAGTTTGTGATCTTTGAGCCATTATTTCTTTAAATATTTTTTCCATTTCTTTCTCTGGCTCCTCTCCTTCTGGTACTCTCATTATGCATATATTAATACACTTAATGGAGTCCCATATTTCCCTGAGTGTCTGTGTTCATTTTTGACCTCTTCCCTCACCACCCATCTGGAGCTTTTTGTTGTTATTTGCTTGTTTATTTGTTTGATGACTTGGATACACTAGTTTAATTGAGTCTATTGCTCCTGTAGTGTGAAGTCTATTATGTGGTTCCTCAGAGATCGCAGCCCTGGGCATGTGTGCAGTCACCCTGAGATGACAGTAATTTAACAGGGTTCTCTTTGTTTCTTTCTTTGATTTCTCTGCTAAGCTTTTTGTTTGCATTGATATTACACCTAGCTGTTAGGTTCCACCAATTGCTGACTGATTGTTCTACTCTTTTTGGCAATGCCTTGGGGCATAAATTACTCCACATTTGACTCAAATATATTTGGGCCCTTTTGTAGGGGTATTTTTGAGGCCAGTCTTTAAGGTTTGTTCTGAACTCTGGAGGGTTCTTCTTGGTTGTCACTTTCTTTGGTTCTCTCTGATAAGTTATCTGGCTTACAATTTAACTTGTTGCCCTTATACAGCTGATAGCCTCCTCTTAATTACTTGCCATAAAATTTTCCATTGTTTTCCAGAGCACCCATAGGCTCCAACTTTCCAAATACTCTGTTACTAATAAAGTCAGTTCTTTTGGATAGACCTTTGATGTTCTTTCTTCTTATTGACTGCCTCATGCCCTGGAAAAAAATCTTTGAGCCACAGCTTCAGTGCTGTGGTTAGGGATAGTGGCTTGCTTCTGATGGAGTGACATTCATCTTTGCAAATGGGACTCTAAGCGGGGGCTGTTGCCTCTGGTCTTTGTGGTTCTCCTCTCCCAGCATGAAACCTCCACCTTATGAGTGAGTCAGGGTAGAGGTGATCAAGGCCCCAGTATTCTCAGCCTGCCGTGCCTGGCGTAGAAGCTCTGCTCTATTAGTGAAGGCTGGGTAAAGGAAGGGGGCTCATGACTTCTTGGTCACAGTACCCAGCTTCTGCAACCTTTTTAGAGTCCCTTGACTGGGAGCTGAGGAAAGAGAGTGCTCTATCTTCTTAGTCACATCCTCCAATGAGTGGAGTTTTAATCATCCTAGGCTGGGGTAGGGGAAAGGAAGAAGAGGATTTGTGGCTCAAATTTCAAATCAAATACTCTCACTGCTCTTACTGAAATTTAGTAGATTTTCTTGAATAAATGTTTCTCCAATTGCTGTATGCTCTTAGGACAATTTTCAGACATTTTATTTTATAATTTCCACCAGTTATGGTTGTTCACTGGGGAGCAAGTCTGTGGAGGTGCTCATGCTGCCATCCTGGATATCATTCTCTATCATTTAAGGTAATGCATTACTCAAAATGTTAGGCTCTCAGTTGTTTTTTGGAATTTTCATCTGAATAGGTGTATTTCTCAAAATATTGTGTCAGATATCATCATTAGGATTAAGGGTAGGCTCATGCTTTTTGATGGCTTAAAGTTTAAAAGGGAATGTTTCCTAAAATGAAAATGAAGTTGACATAATGTAAGTCATTAACTTATTGAGTTAATTACCCTGAAATTTTATTTCTTTGTTTTATTTATCCGTTTTAATTATTTAACTAAATTTAACTAAATTTAGTTAAAATTTAGTTTAAAAAATTTAGTTAACTAAATTATTTAACTAAAAATGATTAATTAGTATGTGCTAACTAATGATTTTTAAGTTTTAAGTTCACAGAAAACCCCAAGATGGCACATGTATAAATAGACATTCGTGTAAACCCCATTTTATTTAGAATACTATCCACATCTATTAAAATATATTAATGTAGCAAATATTGACACAATGAAAAGAAAGCCATTAATTAAATACACTTTATAATCTTGGGTCAAAGCGTAGAGTATTATGAAGAAGATGAGGTGTTGTTATCCACCAATGATGTAATGGAACCTTAAGGATATGTACA